GGTAAAATGGTATTATCAGCCAGCATACATAGAATATGACTCAAAGCCAAGTATATAAATGTGTACCAGGTAAATATGTCAATAAAAATAAGAATGTGTGAGTTCCTAAGGTTTAATATCTAAAAAAATACAGAATAATCTTGAACAGTTTAAACCACAACTGGTCACTGATTAGTCTAGTTAACTTTACTAAATGTACATTAAAATGTTGCTTGAAAAATTGAAATAATGAGAAATTTCAAGTGCTACTGAGTCTCGAACTACTAAATTGCTAAAGTTTTTGCACAAGTTTTGATTGGTGCTCCTTTTGAGACAATTGATTTGACTGTATAGATTATTTTGAAGAGTAATTCTCGTGGAGCAAAACGATCAGAACGGACATGTTCTTGTATTCATTTACTGATTGTTTCGCATTCTAGTCGTAAAAGCGATTACGTGTAATGATCTGAGGTGCGTTCAGAAAGAATCCGTTTTGTGTGGTCATTGTAACCTGTCCCATAAGAGCAGGTAAACTTAGAGGTTCATGTTAATTTTGTCCAAAGAAATTTATACTCAACACTTCTAAGAATAAAAAACCGTCTAGAGAAGACAATATAGAGCTTCTCAGATGTTTCAGAATTGAGTTTCTTAGGGTTTCTGCAAAGGCATCATCTTCTAATTCGGTACCCATGTAATGTTTTCTTTTGTAATATCGGTGACCTGTCAAGTTGTAGTTTTTATCATAGGTTTACATCAGTGAATCTTGATAGATTATCATTTCCGAAGAGTATTTATTGGAGTTAAAGTAGTTAATCTTAAGTTGTGCCACTGGAGCGTCCCTTTTTCTGTCCAGTGTTTTGAACTCTTCCTTAGTGATACAGTAGATTATTTTCATCATTCTTCAAAAAGTAATAATTGCACTTATGTAGTGTCATAAATTCGATTTATTACGCCAATGCACTATAATATGGTTTTCGTTAAATAGTTATCAGCATGGCTATGATTTTATTCGTGCGACTGATAGTTATGCATAACAGTCAAATCTATGATCCGAAGCTTCCTTGTGAACGTATAAATATTTAAAAAAAAAAACAAAAATGATCAGTAGAGTCCATTTATTTCTAGTTAAATAAAACTTTGATACAAAATTACCATGGTTAGACTTTGTTTTAAACATTTATACAACTGTAAAACAAATGCTTTTATAGTCCATTTTCCAATCAATAATCTTGAAATTTGACAGAGAAGTTTACTTCTTGTCTTCTATATCTTTACTGTATATAATAAAATTACCTTGTTTTCTTAATGGATTTTGATCTTCTCAGTTAGGTTAATAACAGTGGCATCTTTAATCTATATTAGAATTAAATCGTTTTTTAATGTTTTCTACAAGTAGGATGTTTCGTAAGTGTAATCTGAATCGCTTCATGATAAATATACCCCTCTTAATCATTATAGGAAAGTTCAGAATCTTTCACAAATTTATCATAGTAATAAAGTTCATAATACTCACTATCTACTTAAATAAACTACTTCGTAATACCCTTTTTTACATATTTGCTAACTTAACAGTACTCTTAAGGAAAAGTCAGCCTATCAGTGTAATCATTACTTGATGTAGAAATTCTATCATCAGAGTATTACGTCATTGTTTATGAATGTAAATTGATATTTTATATGCAGCTGATATTGTTTTATTTAACGTAATCCGATTTGATTCTCGATGAAGTCAACATCATAAATCCATGCGCTGAAATTCACGGCGAACCGTAGTCGAGATAACCACATTGTACTAAACATATGCTACTGAATAAAGCTACAACTATTATTATCAGATATAGTGTGGTGTTTGAGTGAACTGATGATTTCTTTGTGCTTGTTGAATGCTTGATTTCGAATTCTAAATACAATACATTCGTTTGTGCTCATCTAGTACTTCTTGGTTCAATTGCGTTATTTCTGGGACTCTTAGTTCGTACTATAATTCAAATAATTCGAAACATTATATATAGTTCTCCCATTCAAAAATCAGTTAAAATTACTTTATCAAATAAACGACCTTTCTTGGTTTATTTACCACAGTAATCCTTTCTGCACTTTGATATCAACGATCCGAACTTCCTCATGAGACTACAGATGACAGAATGTCTTAGTAACTAGTGAACTTTTACTATGATAACAAAATATTTTACCACATGAATAGTATTTTCCATATCAAGTGAACTGTTAATTATCTGAATAATCATTTTGACAGAATATTTAAAATTCCTCAAGTTGTTGAATAACTTTCAAAAGGTTACATATTAGAATACTCTATCCCACTGAAAAATTGTTAACATGACTTATTAATTATTTAGGGGTTAACTAATAAGTTACAGGTCCAAATGTTTGACCGCTTAATTCGATTTGAGCAACAGGTTAGTATCAGTAACATAGATATACACCAAAAGTATAACCAAAAGCTATACACATATGTACCTGTAATGCCTAACAATATCAGTTGTAAGCCCAAAATATTGTTTCTTGAAACTGTCTGTCTCATCAAGAAGGTTTAGGATTATTAATGAAACGGAAGAATCTCCTCACAAGTAAAAGATATTTGAACAGTACTCAGAAAACTTTTATGATTTATGGTTTTGCATATAAGAATGTTAGCATAAGGATAATGGGGAGACAATATATTAAAGAAGCTTCTGAATAAATTACTGATTCTAGGTCTAATTTAAATGAATTTAAGGTTGATTCATTTTGATAACTACTGAGTCGGGTAATGTCTCTTGAGATTGAGTTTTTTGTTTGCACCGATCCTGAGAGGAATATTTGGTTTTTCAAATCTGTTGTTTTCGTTTGTCAATTATGAGAGCTGTACTCTTGAGCTAAATTCTCTACTGTGATCATTTTATGAACCTGTATTCCTGAGTAAGTACGACTGAAGCGATATCGCAATGTTAACTTTTGCGCATAATCATAACAAGCTACCTCGAAGTTTTGGAAACTTCTAGGAAAGATGCGAGTTATTAATGACTTCTGAGTTTGACCAATATGATTATGAAAGAAAATCATTATAATAAATTCTGGAATTTACCGAATGCGTTAATTAGCTAAACACATTCCCGATATTATTTGGTTTCTGTGATACTATGAAGGATAGTTATCAGCATTTCCAAACGACATGACTATTTTTGGCCGAATGAAATCAATGTTTGGTTAACTTGACTACCTTATACACGCCAACATGACATATTTCTTGACTAGCTAGTGTGTAAACATTATTTAAATTATTTCTTTACTATGCTGTAATTAGTGTAATACATATTTCCTAGTTAAAAGAACTCCACCAGAATTTTCGGCGACAATGTTTTTGAAGTAATTTCGAAAAAAGTAAAGTCTGAAACTAAATCAGTGCGTGAAACAATTAACACTTCTAAGTAACCGTATATATAGTTGCAAATAACATTTCATTATCAATTCAAATGATAATTGCCTAATGAACAGTCATCATTCAATGCATGCCAAAAAACCTTCCTAAGTTATGGAGCCAATAATCAGTTGTATTTCATAAGTTTTGCAATAATTGAGTATGTGTTGACAAAATACATCTTGTTTATCCTTTTGGAAAGGAAATTAGATTTAACAAACATCAACCATTCATCAAATTAAGGTTATCATAAATCTAGAAAAAATTTGTCTGTCATTTTCCTTCCTTACTGTATACATTTACACTTATTTTTCAGCAACACTATTATGATTCACAATTTAGTAAACATACACATGTACCGGAAAGTCATTTTCGGTAAATGTGGATAATTTGTTAAACAAAAGTGAAATTAGTCATAACTTGTCCAATTTGTAGAATAAGAAACTTGGCCAACTGGAAGAAGAAAACGATCATATTGACTGTTCTTACTATTCCAACTGCTTATACATTTGCATTATTCACAACCTAATTTTTTGTGATTATTATCACTAATAATGTATATTTTTTAAAAAGAAAATCTACTTATTATTTTCTAAATTTTTTACTACCAAGAAAGATGACAGCGACAGTTTCTGACTGAAATGATCAACAATTACATCTCACATTTAACAACTAAGTGAAAAGAACTTGAGTCATTCAAGAATTATGAGTTGTAGATACACCTAACAAAAAAGTACTGAAAGCCATAAAATCTTGATTCAAACATTTGAAGTTTTACTTATGTTTTAGAGAAGCCTACTTAAAATGTAGAATAACAGTTCACCGACTATCAAAGTAAGTTTTAGAAACATATGTTGGATATAGTGACGTTTATTTATATTGTCCTCATATCGAATCCAAGATTAGTGAGAAAATTCAACATACTTCATAATTTAATTGGAATTAATTAAGTTTTATGGCCAAATCAAATATTTACTGTCTCAATAAAGAATAGGTAGAAATATATGTGTTTTTTTAGTTATCCGTAGACTCCAAGATGTAAATAAAAACAATTTGGTGGTGACACACCCTTTAATTGGCTATTGAAATTTCATAAATGTACTGACGAAATTCGGAAGTTTGAATGGTTATCTTTGACCATTCTAGTTCCAAAGATCCCTTTAGGACCCATCAAAACTAGGTAGGATCTCACTTATTTTGAAATATATACATAACAGATTAGAGAATAAAGACGACGAAATCGTGATTCTTAATCGCCAAACATGCAATATCAAACGAAGATAGGAATTATCAACCTGGGAGTTATAATACCCTATTGATACCTTTTGTTTAAATCCACTTAATAATCATAAAAACATGATTATGTTACCATTACAAAACCACATGAAATACATACATGATGCATTTCATTCTACTGAAATTGTTAACAATAATTAATGTTTACACTCAACTACATTACATATACAAAAATACTGGCCAGTCCTACCAACCAATCAATTTTGATAAACACATTGGTACTAAACAGGATAGCTGTTAATTAATATCGAAACAATTGAATTGTAATCATTAGATTGCACAATTGGATAATATCATGAATATCAAGGCCTAAATACCTTAGAGATTATCAACAGTTTCCAACGTTAATTGCACGAAATCAAATATGATTAACAGGCTTCGTTAAAAAAAAGAAGACAATAAAAAATATCGATATTGTTAGTGTAAATAAATCTCTTTTATATTTACAACTAGTGGTTAGAATAAGAATACACGCTTTGAGTGAAATTAAGAAAAGCAAGAGGGATAATACTGGATATTCATATATATATACACTAGACTAAAGATAAAAATATATAGTAAAACAACAGAAGGATCCGGCGAAGGAAATTAAAAGGCTTTTACAAAGAAAGATCACTAAATAAAAAAATGAGGTTTAGCCCAAGCGTTGCCAAATATTTGGTTTACGTGATTTAATTGGACGATTTCCAGGAACACCAAGACGTTCTGAAACAGACCTAAATAAACGAAAAACAAGCCCAATACAGATACACTAATAACTAAAACAACTTAGTACATAATAGGATCCTCAAAATAATGCCTACGATACATGAACATCATAAAAGACAAAAGCATGTAGGTAAGGGTTTATGCAGAACTATATAACCTGTATAAATCCAGAAGACGATATAGGATGGTTAGAAAAACAAATCTAGATTCATTTCTTCAATGTAATTTGAAAACATTCGATTATCAACCCACAGATTAGGAGTTATATCATTCAAGAACTAAAAATAATCACTTACGATTTAAAAAATGAACTAAGTAGATTTACTATGTTGGATTTAACATCCATTTAGAATGACGACCAAAATAGTGATATGATTTAAAGCAGTCAATATAAAATTCGCACCAGTAAAATTAGACTACTCAAAGTAAAGTATTAAAATTACCGAGGTCTTCCGGAGTTGGATTCTATATCTGCAACCATGCTCATTGACGCCAACAAACGCCTAGTTCTGAGGGCATTTTCGTCCTCAACTAAGTTAATATCATCATTAACATCGGTATCAGGCATTAATGTTACTGTTGCAATGCTACGAGGATAATGACGATTAACAGGTTTGACACGACTGGAGCCACTTGAGCGCAGGGATGGTTTAGAGTCACCAGACAATGCACTCCCCCATGGTTCCCGTGGATCTAAAACTACAATCGTCCCAGGTTCTGGAGTTTCAAATATATCATCCTCATCTTCGTCATCGTCTTCATTCGTCAACCAGCGATTTGGTATTGGACCGCGATCTCGACGAGGCCATTTGTGAGGCTGTCGTCGAGGTTTAGGTACAGGAAACTCTAGAACAAGTGAATTTTGTGGATACAAATGACAGAAAACATTTCAAATATTGTCTTGTAAAGTTACACTAACATCAATTATGGAATAAAATACAGGAGAGACGGTTTGGTATCAAAACAATGCATTAGCATATGATGTGAATAATGAATAAACTAGAAACTAAACAATCCAACAAACGACAGGCGTCGAAAGGTAGCTTACGATAAACAGTTTAGCCGGCACACTTTTGTTGCCCATACATTTTCAATATCCATCGCGAAAAGCAATAAACCAAACAATACAAATACCATAATGTGTAATATTAGGTATTTTACATTAAAACAACAACTGAAAATGTTATATAAACTTTGACAGTTATGCTAGAATGGAGCTAGAAGATTATTGACTTCTGGTGATATGTTTGTTTATTTCAATAGGTGAAGACTGATAAACGCTCAGAGCTAAGCACAAACAGACAGAAAATATCCGTTCAATAAAGTAAAACGAATACTAACTATATTAGTCAATAAAAAATTGAGTAACGAAAGTGTAATTGTAAAAGCACTCAGTTTCCAACCATGAGACACCAAATTTAAACCTAGTACCACCTACTTCGGTTTAGACAGTCGAGTACCATCACTACTCTTTCACGAGCAAAAGGGTGGTTTAAAAGTAATTAACTAGATAACTAGACCAATCGGGTACCCAGTAATTTTATGGAACATGACAAGTTACTCATGAGTAGCATTACCAAATAGCACTAAATAAACCTCGCGCCCAGCTGCCATTTTTCACGTAGTTGGATTAAAACAAGTAAAACCTCTAGACAGCATTCCTGTATAACTTCGTCATCACGTAAATAGACAACTATATGTAATTATTTATTTCTAGACTCAAGAGCACAATTTAGCTGTGATACCTTGCCTTCTGAAATTAAACTCATTTGCACAGGCCATAGTTAAGTTGTGTTTTTTTTATAGATGGAAATGAATATCAAATTCCTAAAAATTAGTTGTAAAAACAAACATCAAATCAGTTCAGTCGGATTTTCGCTTATGTATCAAAAAATCAGTTGTTTGAAATAACGGCTAAACTTACAATTACCTGAAAGCTCGTATACGAACAACATGATTAAACTTTCACATTACTAAACAGATTCAGTGACTATAAGCATCAAACTAGGCTGAATGATGATATACGAGAATATGATCAACTATAGAATTAGTATGAATATCATTAATCGAGTACAGAAGTGGTGCCAATGACTCCATTTTGATTTTACCTAGAAACATTTTGTATGTGGTGGAGGATTCCTTTACGCAGTAATAACTCGGCAAACATGTTTATGTACTATTACAAGCAAAGATGGATGGTGGCTAGCGGTGTAATCCAGGACGCGCATTTCGTTTTATTTGGGACTCGTCAGCTGGATGTTTATGTGCCAGAAAACTGAAAGACATTAGGAGTAAGAAAAATTACCAAGCCACTTATTAGAAAGAGGATGAATTGGCATCAGAACAAGATTAGACGTTGAGAAGTAATACCATAACATTACAATACATTCTAAAAAGCCAAATAATCAAAGTTGATAATGTATTATGTATATCACTACCTTATACCAAACAGTATAACGTTTCTATCACGTACACAGAGGTAATATTTTATTGGTAAGTTTTTTAGTAGTAATAAAAACAAGATTGTAATCATATGTAACACCCATCCAGTTAGATAAACGCAACAACTTTGAAATTGATTTTTACTAATCAACATCATAAGTATATGATGAAATATGTTTCAAATTGAATTTTTTGAAAGTAGATGAAGTCCTACTGAGTGTAGATAATGAATAATTCAATGTACTTTATGCTAATCTACAGATAAAGTAAGATGTAATAAAGGTATAAATTATATTTCACAAGTATCGTATGGCCAATCTGATATTCAATTAAATATGATATTGAATTGTGCATGGTACACATGAACCAAATGAAGTACTGTGGTATTCGTCATACATATAATTATAGATATGAAATATTAAACATATATATGGAATTTTTCTGACTAGATGCTAAATTCCAAAATACTACCAATATATGTGTGAGGGTCTATTTTATTTTGTTCGCATCTGTATGTATAGATAGAAATCCTATGCCCTTAACACAGTAAAATCAAATGAGTTGGATAATTTGCAAGATAACTCCGGGATCAGTACGCAGGAGGAATTGTTAGAAAAATAAACTGCTGACAGTTTCAAACCCAATCCAAAATTGAATTCAAGCACATTAATTCATCGAATTTTAACCTAGACTTGGTGAGCTATACGTTTCTCACGTAAATTCAATATAAACTGAAGCATTTTCGTCGCTATACATGGTTCTTTGGAACGTACCTTATTCCCGACTTATTCTTGTTCTGATATAAGTTAAGTCTAGTGAAGTGTAGTCGTTAAAGTATACTGGGGAAGGAAGAACGCAACGGAAACGGAAGACATAATTTCGAATACTGACCCATCAACTCCCTGCACAGATTCACACAGCATAATTATAAGAAAAAAGAAACACTTTGGGATCTTACCGCTAGCATTTCGACGCTGTCTTGTGTTAGACTTTGTAGTATATTTGGGAAATATTGTGGGATGAGCTACTTGATCTGACTCATCATACAGATTATCGTAAACAATAAGAGGGCGCTCAGGTGCAGGTGCTTGGGAAGCTGAATTCCATATATTGTAGTTACTATTACCAACTGTTGGACTAACTACTGAGTCGGGATCATCATAAGCGTTGGCAACCAGCTCGGCAAATTGTGCAGATAAACTTTCAATATGACGCGAGTCACCGTTAGGATCGTTGCTGGATTTAATTCGCGATATCCGAACACGACGTCTGTATGAACGACTTAAAATACCAGTCATTCCACCATAATTAGGGTTACCAAAACGGCGGTAATAAAGACTTCGACGTTCTGCTCCAGGTAGTTTTACATCCGCTGAAAAAGTAAAACAGAACAAACAGCGTTAGATCTCAAACACTTGCATGCACTTGATAAGAAGGATTAACTTGATGTCCCTCATGTAGAGTAGAAACCCACTGTTAAATGATATAAACTAACTATAGATAATACTACATCCAAAAATTTGAGTAACATTTGTTATCCAATTTTTACATACTTTTTAAACGAACACAAACAAGCTTTATTAACCTTAAAGGCAAAAAATTGAGTCACTTTGTTTGACCTCATTTCAACGTTTATTTGTTGATTTCCTCGATCCGTATACGTTCTAAAATGCAATCAACTGAACCGATCCACCATTATATGATGTAATATTTCTCAACTTGCCGACCTAAACTTATATATTACCCTCAAATGCCCTGGTACGGCCGAGAGTGGAGAGAGTCAGCCCTCCCTCTCGAAATTCTCTCATATGGCCACGTGAATACAACCACTGCCAGGGAAGTCCTATTCACTGCTTTCTCGCGACGCGGGTGTTGTTTACGAAATTGAGAGGATGAAAGGCGAATGTCCGGCGCTTTAACCGGGTTGGTGGACACGGAGGGTTCACCTAGAGGGGTTGGACAACCCTGATTCCAAACCAATAGTGTGCATGGGCCCCAGGACTCTGAGGCAACAAACGGTGTGTGTATGAACCACTTATTGGTCAGTGGATACCATGGGACTGCATCTCCGGATGTTGCCCCACTGCCTTGTGGATCAGACCTTTAGGTCGAAGGCTCCGGGTGTGGCTCTTAATAAAACCACCTGCTTCGGTTTGGGAACCCGTGCAGTATCCAGCCCTCACACAAATCGAATGGTTTATGTGACGCATATCTATTTGGTGCCTCCTTGTACCGATGTTTATGTGTTCAAATAAACAAAGTAAAACTTGCCTACCAAATTATTGAAACACATCACAATTGTGGAAGAAAGACTAGTAAATAAAAATCGATACGAGTCAACTAATATTCTTTATCATTTAAAAATAGTCTTCAAGTTTTTAACAAAGAAAGTAACCATCTGAATAACCAAGAGACAATATGAGCAGCGTAAGAGACTATTCCTTACATATGCAATTTCAAAGTTAGACACTTAAACGGAAATTTACATCATTTTCATAACCTTTTTCTTGATAAACACTACAGTATAAATAACAGTATATTAGCGGTTCAAACTGATTTAGTTGTAAATTTCTCAACTATTAAATTGCATCACATTAAAACAACAATAAATCTAGTACGATATATTAAACTTGAATGAATATCAGTTTACTAGAAATTTTATCACAAAGTTGTGGAGCGCGTTATTTTGTCGTCACATTTAGAGCGGACGATGTTTGTTGAAGGGCTCTCCACTTTAGTGGCCTGAGATCTGACTCCAAGTAGATCGTATGAATGTTATCGCTTATCCTCGTATATAATTGTCGACTTAATTCGCGTTAGTCAATAACAGAATTAAATAAGTCAAATAACGAGAATGAACTTTTGAATACATATATTTTGTATATGCAGCGAATAGAATAGAGAGAAGCAAAACGACGTGCAGTCGAGATGGCGGGTAAGCCAACTGCCATTTAGCCAAGCATTAATCAATAATTATAGTTACATGAAAATAAGTTACAGACATGTAGTGAGTAATGGGTTAAGAAATATACACACACCTACGCTCATGTAAAAACAGTCAAGATTGATAAGCAGATAATTAACAAGGTCAAAATGTGACTCAAGTAGAATGAATAGATTGGGCTGTCCGAAAGCGAGAATAAGATATACGGGCTTAATATAATAACCGACACTACAAAGTCATTACTGAATTACTATAATTAAAAAGCTTGCTTTTCAAATATGAAGTAAGCCCTGTCTACTAAAATAATCTTAAAACTAAAAGCAATTATTTATGAGGATACATATTTTACTGTTGTTGATGTTAAGGCCTCCAACTGATCAATCTCTGTTGGCATATTTGGATCCTGAGCTGAATGGCAATATTGAGGTAAACCATGCAAATAAAATTTATACTCGTTGAATAAGCTAGTGACTATCTGGATTTAGTGGCTTATTGTATAACACAGCAATTAAAGAGAACAGTACTGAATCCGATTCTTATCATGAACGTCAATAATGAGACGTAAGTACACTTAGCTGACGAGATACCCGTACAGGATCCCACTGTCAGCCATTATCTAACTCGGAAGAAATAAGCAATAGTTAAATATATTTCCACAAAAAATCAAATTAATAAACCATTTTTAATTAAAACTTAAGAAATAAAGATGAAATATAATATCTGCTTACTTTTATGTGGGAATCGTAGAAAAAGTGATATTGTTTGAGGTGGAACTGATAATGCCTTATACCAACGCCCGGTTGGAGGTAGATGTTGAGAAAATTGTTCAATAGAATCCAGTGTTTCATTTGATAATGTCAAAGATTTACGATCTTCAAATATTTCGTCTAAATTATCTGACTGACTCAAGCCTACATCATTAATATCATCTTTTTCTAAAAGTGAGGCCAAAGCAGCAGCTGCAGCTAATGCAACACGACGATCAAATGGTTCAGCGAAATCGGCTATAGCGCGTAGAACAGTATTCTCATCTTCAAACACAACATTGCCTTAAGGGAAACAGCAGTGTAGTTGGATTAAGACCATACATTTAACAAGAGAGATAAGAGGTGAAGAAATAAGTAATACGCCTAAGCTGATTGACATTATGTAGATGATAAGTAGATTTCTGTTGATGTGATTAGTACGATAATGTATGAAAATCAGATCTTAATCGTAACCTATATACAATGTTAAGTCCTTGTTATATAATTTGATAATAATGGTCACAAACCCAAATACCGAATGGGATTTTGAAAAAATACACACTTTCCAATAAACTGAGTTATTTTGAGTTTTTTAGTTGTGATTAGACCGTCATGACAATGAATACAAGTTTTTTATGTTAAAAGTTCCTAATTCCCCGACAGAATCACAGAGGAACAAGGCTTGTAAAATTAGTCTTCATTAAACCAGTAAAATTAGGATGTAGCATTAACAGCCTTAAGTATCCTTTGGAACCCTAGCAAGCGTAATAACTAAAATGAACCAAAGCCTCATACTGCTTTTTTATAATTCTTTATAAAACATAAATGGTTAACCAACTTATTCTACAAAGGTAATTTTTCTATTCTGAAATCATTGCTGTCAGATTACTTTATAAAAGTTTGATTAGTTTAATAAACATGAAGGGCAGTTGCTTGCTTGTATTCATACATGAATTCAACTCTCTATTAGCATGTCTAAAAAGAGATATCCAGTACTTAAAGGTACTCACAATTGGTTGATCACTGAGTAATGAGGAGTGTTATGTTGGTAAAGACTTTTTGGTGCTGATCGAGTCCTATCGATTAAGTTGTAATGTGACCACTCGTCTAAATGACTCAATATATTAAGATATAATGTAGTTGAAGGTAGTCAACAATCAGTCGCTGTCCGAACAGCTCAGTGGTAACAACTCATTATGAAGCTGGATGATAGGGGACTGAATCCCTCTGGGAGCACCTATTACATCAAAACAACAGGTGTGCCTTACTGACGGGTGCTAAGTGGTACGAAAGCCAAACTGAGTTTCTTATCGAAAAACTCTAACTATTTAACAGTGCTTACATGTTTTCAACGTATTGAAGTCAATGCCAGTTTCTTTTATAAGAAACCACCTTAAGAATATCGTATTCTGATGTTTGTTTTGCAATGGATATTTGATATACACTAATCAGACAATTATTTATTTAGCTTACCCGCAACCTAAGGTCGAGTATACGTCGACAAAAATGACCGAATGTTATGTGAAAGACCAATGAATAGTAGTAAAAATCAAAGAATTAAAGCACTTTCAAACATATCTTGGACGACTGATTCACTTTTTTATGATTACACCTAATATTTAACCGCAGATTCTCATCTTCACAGTTTTAAATAAGCTTGTGTAAGTCATGAGCTTGACTCTTGCAATGTGCCAATTCAAATTCAACTTTCACCGCATTATGTGCAAAACAGAACCATAAAATACGAAATACGATCATTTACGAGTTAGTTTTGTTTATGACTAATTGAAATCGAACAAAAATATGACCCATGATAATCACCGTAACATAGAATTCCAGAAATTAAGGAAAACGAATAATGATATTAGCATAATTAAACATACATGATGCATCATTTATCCATTCGATACATTTTGGGCTGTAATCAGATAACCAAGATAAAACATCCTCTGTACTAAGATTGTGAGTACCCCAAATATGAAGAGCATTTGATCTATAACCCTGTTCTAATATTTCATTCCTTCCTTTTGGAAAACCTAAATGGTGATAAATCTTTGCAGCAGAAGCCTGAGTAATCGCTAATGTGGAACCGCAGTTGCAAAATTCAGACTATAAAATAAAGTAACACAAAATCTGTGTGATTTACTTATTCGGAAACTAGGAAGGGATCAGTATTTTCAACATGTTAACTGTGATCATTACATACTTCGCAGACAGTCGCTTAAAATTTCCATCCTCCTAACATTACTCAGACTAAGTTAAAAGAGATCAATTAATAATGTCAGGGTGTGGTTACCTCTAGGAGGCCAGGCACATTTAACTCACGTTCCAACCACATTACTCAATAGAGATTCGACCTTATTAGATGATTTTCCGCTTTTGTCTAGAAACGTACTATATATTCAGAAGGCTAACAAATATGCAACATGAGAAAAAGTCTTAAATCTCTAGCAAAACACAAAATATTTTGGTGGAGAATTTTAATTTTGAAAAACTGATGAATATGACTTGGTCCTGATTCTAGCATTCCGTTTACTTTGTCCTAAACCATTATTTAAAATCCAGCCATTAGGTAAGTAGTCAGTTATCCCTCCTACGTATACATATTAATTAGCTAAAATGTCACTAAATTTTATAACCCGAATAGAAGCACAGATATGACAAACTGTAATGATACAACAAATAAAATATACTGTTAATGACAACCAGATTTTATCAGTCATCAGTGTGAGAAGTGTTGACTTAATGTTTAGCGCACTCAGTTTTCAACCAGTAGGTTCAAGTTTGAAATCTGACTACATCAACTAATATTTGGGAGGCTGGGTAGTTGAACTGGCCTTCATACATGAGATTAATGATAAATACACAAACTTGTTTTTAGTGAGTTGCATCACTATATAAACTTGACGGTGTAAATGAAGGTAAATGTTAGTAGATATCTTGTAGCTTTATTAAAACAAGCGATATAAGAGCAATATTAATGATTTCAATGATAGGATATTCCTTGTTAATGGGATCATTATCTTTATATGTTTTTAGTTCAGCATAAAACCAAGTGCGATAACCACGGAAAGAGGTGAACTTTTTTTAAACCCAAGAAAAAAAAGCAGTACAATTGTGTCTTACCTGACATGAACAATAAATTGGTGACAATATTTGGTCTTTCTGTTCAGCCGGTACATCACAACTATCAACATCTACTGTTACTTTCAAGCAAGGTACAGAAACAGCCATGAGTGTTATAGTCTGCCAAACTGACTGCAATGCATCTGTATAAAAAAAGTACATTTCTTGCATAACTAAGTAAAGAACAGTGAGAAACACGGACACCGACAATTACCCAAAACGCTATTGCCATAATAAAAGCCTATGGAGAACTGACACCTGAGGGTCTACCTATTTTGAGCTGCATGTTATGTTTCAATGATTACATTACAAAAGAATTAATGTACAAGTACTGTGTCAAAACTCAAGAGCGAATATTGAAACAAATTGTGATTTCATGACTTTTATGTCTGACTTGAGACAAAATATAGAAAACGTGGTTATTTAAAAATGACAGAATCAATTAAGACGATAACACAGAGCATAAAATTCGTGTTACATTCAAAGCAAACAGAGAGAGGAAAATGAAGACGTTATTCCCCAAGGAAAATGGTGTAAACGAAAATTGTTTATTCTCCAAAAATCCCAACGAAGAGATAGGAAAGACCATGCTGACTACCGTAAGATTTAAAACAACGGTAGAACCACTATCTCCTAACTTTTAAAAGACGTTTAAACGCGCAACAAAATTACATTTGACATGGCAACTAATTGTTTTCACCTATAAAAGTGGAAATTTTTGTACTTTTACCATTATTAATTATCTGGGTTAATATTCCTCTATACTTACGCAGCAACTGACCGGAGTTCGCGAGCGGAGAGCAGTGAGATACGACCAACAGACACAACAAGTAACGATAGGATCTGCACTTACCGCCAATTACTCAGACACAATTGACTAACACATATCTATCTGCACATATTTCGGGTTAAAGTAGGACTGAGACACACTGGCAGAAGCTCCATGAAGTTTTCGCTACCCATAGTGGTACTCAAAAAATATACAAAACAACGAATACCTTTCTACTCTCACGCCTTTGATCATGGTGTTGTGAAGACAGGCCTGATAAGCTTATTTTGTAAAGTTTTTGATGTTATTTGTAGTTATTCTGTCAATTTTTTTACTGCATGTACATTTATCATTAAATGATAGACACGCACAAATCTGCTGTATTAAGTAACGTCTCTGATTTTTGCAGTGTTTATAACATTTAACTGATATATATTAACATTACTATTTGCACTTAATAACTCTGTTATCAATTGTGAGTTCAAATATTGCTTGGTCCACCACAGTGTCTTGAAAGCCATTGGTTACAGGAATGGTTCAAAATGGTTCAACTGGTTGTGAACGGAATAGAAGGGGCTTTCGCTTAACGGCCTTCTGTGTCTAGTAGCAATGGATCATCAATACCTCCAAACAAGAACATAGGTATATTAACGATAAAAAGGGAAAAGAAATCAGTAAATCATAGTAAGATACTATCCTTAGTCCTTAAAAATATGTCAAGTTTCCTCTTAAAAGACTCCTGGGAAGTCGCTTGGACTAGCTCAGCCAGCAGAGAATTTCGGCGTTTGACAACTCCTAAGGAGCAGAAGTTGTGTCTGTAATCCGTTCCGCTGGTCACATATGCTCCATTTTTATCAGATCAGTTGACCATGATATTCAAAAATCTTCGACGTCTCACTTACGAACTATTTGGCTTCGTCCACGACTAACAGAGTACCTTTCTCCTTAGTGATGTTTCAAAGATTTAGAGGTAAGAAGTTCTTCTTAAGGAACCTCAAAAAGTTATGTTAATCTGGACGACTATCAGTTCTCCTCTGCTATGTCCTATTAAATACAGGATACTGAGAGCAGGACATAGAAAGACACGTTGTATTTTCTCAGTGGTCGTACTGTCGATCCAACGACCATCGATCATCTGTTTGATCTGTAACCTCTCTCTTCTAACTTCTATGCTGCATCTAATAAGAAGAATACCAGCGTAGAGTTTGTCTATCATTTGTTTTTTACCCTAGATCATGAAATTCAAACCCCACAGTTCATACACAGTCTCCACTATTACAAACGTTCAGACAATATAGCCACAGGCCCATAATATTCAACCTGTTTTGATTTATTTCTGAGGAAACGCTTCCGTTAATCTAGAGTATACGAATCAGGCAGACTTGTTAGATGGTTCTGATATCAGTCCTAAGTAACAATGCAAAAACACTTCAGATGTTTTGCCAATATAGTCAGGGTTTGGGAACCATTGAAGTTTGTTTATTCGTATCGAAATTGGAAATTGTAATCGTTCATCAATTTAATCGAGTGGTACGCCTCGCCCCCGGTTTATGCTCAACATGATTGAAGTAAAACAGGGCTAATGTTAGCCAAAAGTAACAATGCTGTTCAATAATAATAACAACATAAAGACCTAATGAATCTTATTACTTCGTGAGCAGCTGTGACTCAATGCGATTCACAAAACACTCTGAACTCCAAGTCTTGTAAACTAAAGCATAAGTTGTAGAAACCTGTTCTGAAATTCGATATTGATATTATTTTCATTCTATTACATACTAAACAGATAAAAGGAGAAAACCTTAGAAGCAGGAAACTTAGTGTTCAAAGCTGACTATTTCGAAGCGCATTCACATCCATAGGCCTTCTACTAACAACTGAAGTAAGCAAACTTAGATGACCTGTGCCGAATGGTTGGGAACTTACTCGAGTTAGACGGGATTTGTATAGCTAACCAGCTAACGTTGAAGTCACACCTCGCGGTTAGTACATAAAGTGGATTACACTTTCATTGTATCCGGGCTCGATATCTGCTTTGATGACTATGTAGCATAAACGACGTTACTCTAGAAATATATCCATAAGAACAGGTACAAAGAACAGAATGAGGCTGTGGTATATGCTACTTATGTCGACAGACATTTAGTGTGTATATTTATGGTCTAGTTCAGTATGAGTACATTATTTTCGTTGCTATAATATATATAATCCCGAAATTTTAGATTTGTCATGATGTGATCACCTAACTTATACGATACTACGTGAGTCACATCGTTGTCCATACTGACTCATACTACTGTGACTTCATCAATATAACGTTTAGCGCTTCTGATGGACACATTTGGGCTGGAGATAGAATAATAAAATCAACGTAAATAGGGATAAGTAACACAGAATGATCTCACCTATAATGCTGAGCCATGCTAAAACCGATCAACTGTTCCTGCGTTCACCACTTTTAACCCAATCTAAGCGTTATATGTTGAATGGAAATCTCATTAAATGTATGTTCAGCTTCAAAGATCCTGTGGTTAAAAACCAATACCACCACAAGCGGTCATTGAGAGCTGATGGATAATCCAAGTGTTATAGGTCCTTCCCAAGAAGAGCCCAACCAATGGTTTTGACTTTTAATCTGCTTCTGGGACCAAGAAACGGCTGCTGACATAAAAGAGAAGGACATTCTGGTTAAATTACGCAGTCTAGCAGCCAAACTCAAATCTCAACTCTTCCAAATATTATAGATTCAGCAGCCATTCTTACTGAAAACCTCGTCAACCGATTTAGTTAAAAGTCCCTTTTATATGGCAAGACATAAGCGTTTTTGAGATCCCAGAAATCTCAGTCTTCGAGTGTGGAATTTCATAAAACGATGTTTCACGGTCAGGGATATCCTAAAATGTCGGGCTGTAATTCAGATAATAAGTACAATTACATTGTTTTCTGATCAGTCTACTATAAAGCTGAGTAGACTTGTTTGGCTGGCTGACTCAGAAAATATTATGGTGAGTCTGTACTATTCAATGACTCCACTTATCATGTTACCGAACGTGCCGGTGACAAAACTTAATTCACTTCACAAAGGTTATTTCTGATCTTGGTAGGTGTTATGTACCATGCTCAATGGTCAACCTTCAGAAGTATACTTTTAGTATGATAAATAATTTAACCGGGGTTCACAGCAATGTGTAAATCTACAATTTTCTGCTTTTGATAAACGTATTTGTGCACTGACAGTACGAGTTCAGCGAGTGCAGTGAATTCACGTCTTTGATTTGATAAGGCACAAAACCACCATGTGGTTATTCACTTAATGTTAATAAACCGTTGTAAATTGAAACAACTGTTTTATATTGCACCAAATTAAACTACAGCTTCATCAAGGGATTTTTAGTGGGGTTCCGAAAGGTTCTTCTGACGTATAGTAAAGGCTTTCCGCATAAAGTATCTTCTAAAATATTACTTACTGATGACAATGTAGAATTTTGCAGTTGTGATCACAATCAGCTGTATAGATCAGGACTTCTGGGAGATGTTCTCGGGCCTCAAAGCTGGACAGATGATAATGGATTAGCTTTCAACGCACTTTCACTGTAAAATATTTACCCTAAATCAAGATGCGAGCAGATCATGTAGCTAAAATAATCCTCTACTATAAACGCTGTTGGTGGAAAAAAACTTTGTATGTCTTTTTCCCTTGGATTAAACAATCGTATTCTAACAGTGGCAGGAATTACTCAGACTGACAAATTCGATAGATTTCTTTTGTCAGTTTGATAGTCGGAATGTTTAGAGAGGGATGTTTACCTAAGGATGAACTCATAATCATTTGTAGTATTACAAACACAGGGGTAGCTTATTCATGTGGATAAACGACTACCTAGTCGGGCGTCAACAAAGAGTACATGTTAAATCGAAGTTGTCTAGCTAGAAACCTGAACTTACTGAAGTGCCCTAGGGCACAGCCTTGGGTCCACTGTTATATATTTTGTGTGTAAATAACCTTAGTCTCCTAGCAAAATCGGTTTCGTTATATGCAGACGATATGGAGACATGGAGAGTAGTAAGGAATGAAAATGATGGTTTTGGGCTTCAAAACAACCTAGAGGAATTATCTAGATAGTCTAGAGTTAAGAAGTTTCTGATTGATGAGTCTCATGACTGACTCGTTAAAACCGTCTTGCTAGCCGTTTTCGACATTTTTAATTACCTCTAAATACCAACTGAAACACTAGAGAGAATACCCCAGATGTGAATAAGAGTTTTACTCCAAGTCTAGTTGTTACTCAGAAAAACGCAGATATTTATGATATTGCACTTGCTCTTGTGCTTCTGTAAGTTTCTGGAACCATACTAGACACTGTAGCAGTATAGTTAAATATCCGATCCAAACAGTGACATATGATCCTGTGTTTGCCAGAAGTTTCCGCAAGGTTCAATTCAGTGTTAATTAGGTGAAAAATTTCTCTGGCATTTTTTTGACTCTATGGACTTAAAAAGGGATATTTTTGGGACTGCCTTATGGTGTTATTTCTAACTACACAATTCTCGAAGGTGAACATATAATTACTGAGAAAATTCATATCCAACAACTAACAGGGAGATAAGGTCAGCAACGGTAAACACCGCAAAAATCATATTAGGTGTCTCTCGGCTACGAAGATGTGGTCACTCTATCTACAGCCCATTGTATTTCGTATGAAAAATGTTACTTTCTATTCGGTCTAAATTTGTTCTTCAGAAGGGATAGACGTCACATTGCTGACATCTTGAAAGAACGAGTAAGTATAGACGATGAATGAATTTACACGTACAATTTTATAGATCATGACAAATGTGCAATTTTGATATTAGATTTATTATTGTTGTAGTATTAGTAATGAGCTAGACAACGGGACGTGATTACAAAAGATCTGGGTAGAAGTTATGATGAAAAACAAGGTGGAGGGTTAAACAAATAACTGTACTGTGCAGTAAAATACTTTTGAGGATTTTTCAACGCATTCTTTTTATTACACATGGTGAACGATTTTGAGCTACCTATGACCTAAATACACACTAATCTAGGAGTCAGTGTTAGTCAAGACTTGAAAATCACTTCACACTCCCATCTGATAGCTGCTAACATTTTAAAAATCCTCTTGTCATTACATAGAGCTTTTTTCTAGGTGACTAATAAGACTGTTTTAACTTGTCATACAGTATTTGTTCAACCTAAAGTTGAGTTCTGCACACAATCATCCGTATCCTTCTTGAAGAAGGACAGCGACCAGTTAGCAAAGGCTCAAATAACGGAAATAATGCTGATTCCATGTGTCGTCAAGCAGCTGCATGATGACATGACCTATGTTTGTGTCCATATGACGCTGTAAAGGATCTTCAACGTTTTCCAATTCTTCAGGTAAGAATTACAGTTAAATGTATCGTTAATTCCAGGTTCCAAAGTCATTTCGAACTCTTTTAAATGAGTTCACATCTTTTACAGGTAAAACTGTAGCTGTAAATTATAAACGCGTTCGGACAATGAGACACGAATTTATAGAAAGAGAATACATCCGGTGCTACGACAAGGGCATGATGTATGTTGGTGATACTTTACGTGCACGATGTGCTTGTGAGCGTTTCAATGATTACATGTTGCCCTGTAGTCATATTCTGTATGCACATTCCAAAGATCTGATTCATGAAGGTGTGTGTTCCTTTGTCCCTATAAGGTTTGTAGATTTATTTCGACATAGCAACCGGTGGACTAGGATATACATAATGGACCTGGTTCTTCGTGCGCTGGACAACATGTCAATCTCTACAGAGAGTGGTGATCTGTTAGAGAAGTTCACTAACAGCTACCACTCAGTCCATGCTCTTTGTGAACCTTTGGCAAGTAAACTCATCCGTTCATGCCTCGAAGCATCGGAAGACATATGCGCACAAGTGATGAGTTCAATCGGTGCTAATGATGAAGCTACAACGTCAGAATCCATTGTTAATACAGACCATAGCTATGCTTCTTGCTAACAAGAAGTTCTAATATTGTAATCTTTTTAGTTTTACATAAATTCATTTATATGGCCATCGACTTATTCTTATAGCGTAACGGCAGGGAGTGTACTGTGCAGTCTTATGTGGCTGTGAGACAGGGATGTAGTTTCGCGTTCTTGTGTAATAATTACCAGTTTGGCGCACACGCAATTAGTCATACATACTGTTTACCAAATACTGCAATCTTGAACATGGTGTACCATACTAGTAGTTCGAATTTCGGCCTGTCACGATAGATAAGAATTGCCGTAATTAAAAGACTGATACGTTATAATATAAACGTTTATTAAAGTTTAGATCTAGCACAAATGGTCCATTAATAAATAACTTCAATTTCTTAGGAATTGTCCCCCTTAGGTCTGTGAACACTTGCGAAGTCAGCTGGAATTAAGATAGACATTAAATAGTTATTGCAGTATAAATGTTTACCAGGAACTAGTATGAAAACAGAAACCAGTATTCAATTACAGATCGAAAGTGCATTTAGCACACCCTTTCTTTAGATAGTCAATCACGCTTATTTGCTTTATCTCTTGCGTTGCTTAGGAAAGTCTGGTTTGCAACATACATGGATTGTATTATTTAATTCTTTGGACAGGTTGCACTTCGCAGACTTAGACAATGAACATATATAAAGACTACTGTGTGAACTTACTTTGAATCGTCCTATGTAACCTGCAATTATTGATGCCTATTTTATTTTATTCCGACGTAAGGTATATGTAATTGTCATTTACGGCATCAGCACGTAACCTAGACAGGCCTTGGTTGACTTTCGAAGATCATTACATATGATCTCACACAATCTGGCCACTTGACATCAAGATATCTTGATTATCGAATCGTACTTGTCAATGTTTTCTCGTAACCGCTTTATATTAGTACTTATTTATGCAATTAGGTATTTTTGCAAGAATACCGACAGCCAAAACATTGTGACTCTGCACAAGAGGTAGTAAAGCTATCTTAGCTTGATCTCTGGTAAAATCTTCACACAATTACACCTCTTCCGGATGATTATGATTTATTTCCTGCAATATAATCATTTGATAGCTAATGTATCTAACTGTAGAAGGTGATATTAACATCTTGATATGTGTTACTATCATCTATAGCATATACATGATATTTACAACACTCAGGACACCTAATGTTTTCACTATAAACCTATTTCTGCCATAAAATTCGAACAAAACAGTGAAAATCAGCCAAAATTGTGAGAAAGAAGGGAAAAACGATAAATCTTACCATGGTATCGTTACTTGTAACGCAGTTTTGGTAGCCTTGACGACAATACAATTTTTATGACGATATATGCTTGGATCATGCTATTTCATATAAAAATAAATGATTCGACAACCATCAGTGTATACTTAGGTAGAAATAATTGCTAGTCTGCTATGCAAATACGAAAAATCTATTATAGCAGCACCTGAATAATGAATTTTCAAGGACTTCACGATACCCTGTAACGCAAAATGCGAAAAACCCTTTCCACCTAATTCTGAAAACGGAAAATAGACTTTCAAATTTATTCATGATTTATTTCAAATTTTGGCTATGCACAAAGCAGAAATAAAAAAGTAGTGCAAAAACATTTCGCGATACCTAAGGAGTGCTGCCAAAAATTTGAAAGAATAACTACAAATAACATCAAAAATTATTTACAAAATAAGCTTATCAGGCCTCTCTCCACAACACACACATCATTTGAATGGTCCCAAATTTGACGATTTTCAATGAATTCTTTCAAGTTTATTGTGATGCACATTGGTCATTAAGGTACATATACACATACGGGAAATAACCGTGAACTATCAGTTGGCCAGACACACAATGACTTTGGAGTCATCGGTAGCCAAGACTTTGAGACTATTGCACGCTGCCGTGAGATAGCCACCAAACGTCCTAGAACCCTATTGTTAATATGTAGGGCCTCTGACCATGTCGATGCCAACACTTTTTGACTTCGTGAACAGTACTCATTCGTCCCAAACATGAGTACTGCATACAAATGGCTAATCCCTGTCTAAAAGGAGACAGTGAGCTGTTGAAACGGTTAATAGAACAGCAATTAAGCCGATTCTCGGAACAGCGAAGCTCTCGTATGATACTGGACTAGCCAAACTAAACCTATTTCCATTGTTATATCGAAGAACTACAGGCGACTTGATCATAGTTTTCAAAAAAATTCTTAGTGATAAATTTTCATTTGGTATGCCCTTGTCTTTCAAAACAAGGAATCTAAAAGGGCACTCTAAAAACGTTCACAAGCCCACAACAAATTACGTGTCAGCTGACCACCGATATTCACACCAAATCGTCAACGAATGGAACTCATTACATCAACACATGATTAAAGCTCCATCTGTCAGCACTCTAAAAATAAACTTGGACCAACTGAGAGACCACCATCACTAGAACTAACACAGACCACCTAGCCTCCTGTCCTTCCCAAACTGAAGTAGTTCTAGGTCATTTAAATACCGCAAGATTCGAGCACATCGCACGCCTGGCAATGAATTGTACTAACGTAGGCCAAATAGCTGGTCTTCGATATGGATTTTACAGCCCTGATGAAATCAGAAGGTTGTCAGTTCGCAAGGTGACAAATGACTTGGCTTTCGACAAATTTACTGGTCGTGGGGTAGATGGAGGGCTTCATGACGTAAATTTCGGTAAAATATCAACATACTATTCATTGATATTTCATAGGGGTCATTGGCTACAGCGAGACCTGTGCACACTGCGGCATGGATTTTGCAGATTGTCCAGGTCATTGTGGCCATA